TTTTAAGAAAGTGAGGCGGCACAGGAGGCACTCACTCATCTCTGCCAAGAAACTTGGAAGACAACTTTCTGGCCGACTGATTGGAAGAGATCCATATTTGTGCCCATTCCAAAGAGAGGTGACCCAATGGAATGCAGAAATCATCAGACAATATCTTTGATATCTCAAGTGAGTAAAGTTTTGCTAAAAGTAATACAGAAATAGCTACAATCATACATTGACAGAGAACTTCCAGAAATTCAAGCTGGAGTCAAAAGAGGCCATGGAACGAGAGAATCATTGCTGATGTCCGATGGATCTTGGCTGAAAGCAGAGAATATCAGAAAGATGTTTACCTGTGCTTTATTGACTACGCAGAGGCTTTCGATCGTGTGGATCATGACAAGCTATGGACAGCATTGCCAAGTATGAGTATTCCAGAACACTTGTACTCATGAGGAATCTGTACCTGGACCAAGAAGCAGTTGTTCGAACAGCGCATGGGAACAATGTATGTTTTAAAATTAAGAAAGGTGTGTGAAAAGGTTGTATTCTTTCACCATACTTATTCAACCTGTATGCTAGCAAATAATACAAGAAGCTGGGTTCTATGAAGAAAAACATGGCATCAGGATTGGAGGAAGATTCATTAACAGCCTGCGATGTGCAGTTGATACAACCTTGCTTGCTGAAAGTGAAGAGGACTCAAAACATTTACTGCTGAAGATCAAAGAGCACAACCTTTGATACGGATTACATCTCAAAGTCAAGAAAACAAAACTCCTCACCACTGGACCCATAAACAACATTCTTAAAAATGGAGAAAAGATTGAAGTTGTCAAGGACTTCACTGTTCTTGGATCAACTACCAACACTCAAGGAAGCAGCAGTCAAGAGATCAGACGACGTATTGCATTAGGCAAGTCTGCTGCATAGGAACTTTTATAAGTGTTGAAAAGCAAAGATGTCAGCTTGAGGACTAAGGTGCGCCTGACTCAAGCCGTGGTTATTTTCAATAACCTCATATGGATGCGAAAGCTGGACAGTGAGTAAGAAGATCACACAAGAATTAATGCCTTTGAATTATGGTGTTGGAGAATACTAAAAGTGCCACGGGCTGCCAGAAGAACCAATAGATCTGTTTTGGAAGAAGTGCAGCCAGAGTGCTCCTTAGAGGCTAAGATGGCCAAACTTCGTCTCTCATACTTTGGACATATTGTCAGGACGGAATAGTCACTAGAGAAGGATATCGTGCTTGGTAAGATGGAAGGTCAGAGAAAAAAAAACCCCCAAACAAGACAGACTGGCCAGGTGGCAGCATCGATGGACTCACGTGTGGCAAAAGTAGTGAGGTTGGCCCAGAATCAGGCAGTGTTTCATTCTGCTGTTCATAGGGTCACTATGAGTCGGTGCCGACTCAATGGCACCTAACAACAACAAAGGCAAGAAGTGACTAGCTTACAAGCTTTCAAGAGGGAGCCTAGATCCAGAGGGTGCGGAGGAAGGTAGAATCTCTACTGAGTAATATCCAATCTGTCTGGGTGAGACTGATGAAAGGATATGGGGATAGGACTCTTGTGGTACAATAATGAATTGCTATCAGGACTGACTGAGGGTTGGAAATGTAAAGGTAGATGTTTTGTAGCAACAGGAGGGGAGTGATTGACGTTGCAGTCCAAGAGCAGAGGTCCATGGGACCATCAAGGGAGAAGAGCAGAGTGCGGGACCCTATCCAGAGAAACTGACGCCAGAGTTGGAGGCAGAGATGACGTGGAGAGACGGAGTGGCTGGGGACTCTAGACCCAGAGAGGGAGAAGGTCTGTGTGCTGAAAACCAGCAGACAGATTTGTGGGGTGTACCATTTGGTTGATTGATGATGTATGGAGGGGACTGTAATCATGACAACAGAAAGATATACGAAAGGATGAATGTGAAGCTAATGTTCTCTTCCCATGTTAACTATCACATAATTCACAATAAAACATTTTTTAAAAAGTACAAATTTTTGTTTTATACAAGAATCCCTGGTGGTACAGTGATTAAGCACTTGGCTACTAACAGGTTAGCGGTTTAAACTAATTAGCTATCCTGTGGGAGAAAAGACCTGACAAGTGTTCTCATACAGATTACAGCCTAGAAAACCCTATGAAGCAGTTTCAGAGGGTCGTTTTGAGCTGGAATCGGCAGTACAGAATAACTGAGTCTTACATAGGTAGAAGTTGACATCAGTAACTTAAATGCACCAAATACTTTTCTATTCTTGTTGTCGTCGTGTCGTCCAGTCATTTCTGACTCATAGCAACCCTGTATAGGGTTTCCAAGAAGTGGCTGGTGGGTTTGAGCCACCAAGCTTATAATTACCCATCCACTGCTGATCCTACAGTACTACACCAGGACTACCTCTTAGTTGAATAAAAAACACAACAGCAGTTTTATTTGGCAAGACTTGCTTTAAAAATTTCATATAAAAATGCAATATAACTCATTCTTGAAAAAAAAATGACCAGGATACTAATGAAATCATCTTTGAAGAAAGTGTTTAATAAACATTTTATTTAAATAAATTCTCCAGTGGGGAATGGAGAATTCATTCCTTTTATGTGGAAGAAGGCTGAGTAAATATGATAAGTCAAATTTTACCTGTGCAGCTCACCAACATTCCCTTATTGGAAACAACAGTTATTTCCACATCACAGTTCCCAAAATGATCTTATAAAGTCTCAAAATTCTGTATCTCCTTTGGCTTGCTTCTCTCTTGATTCTACCCAAGCTTTATTAATGGTTCTCTTCATATCATCATCGCCATCTTCATAAATTTTCTTTAGGACATTCATCAATCCCTCACTAGGATCTGTTTCAGTGTCATAGGAAGGCTTTCTGTTAAAATACAAAACACCCACAATAATGTACTGAGACAAAGCATTTTATGCTTATTTTAAAGTACACAGAAATATGACTCAACAACATAGGGAATTGAAGGGTGAAGAAAAGCACAGTATTTAAAGATTTCACAATTAAAATAGCACAGAGCAAAACAGCACTGTTGTACCCTGTTCTCTGGGTCACTTATACACTGGTATCAACACAGAAGTGGTGATTTGTACCTTGGCAGAAAGGCCTGGAGAGCTGCTTAATAAAAACACATATACATGTATGAAAGAATGGTCATCAAAATGGCAATAGCTTGTGGCAGTGGGCTTTCAGATGATTTTTATCTTTTTCCTTCCCCATTTACTTTTCTAAGCTGTTTTAATTTTTAACAGCATGTTTCCTTATTTAATTCAGGAAAAAAAACTTTCACGTAGGGAAAAACAAACATTACACATGGATACATACTGGAGCTCAAACAGATCACCCCCTTCTTTAGCTTGGTCTGAAAGAACAGTCCCTTAAGGTGGTCAGTTCAATGATGTCCAAGCTGGGCCAATTAACTTTACACCATGTGTTCACTCATTCACCTCATTTATTAACATGTCAGATTCTGCACTGTACACAATATACAATACAAATACAATAGGATGCTATACTCAAGTAATTCGGTTTTAATTTTAAACTGATCCCACAGATAGTCCTATATGCCTAACTCTTATCAGACGTCATATTCCAAATGCCATACTGGCTATCAGAGAGAATGTGAAGGTTAGCTGGCTCTATACAGTACAAGACCATTCTTTAAAACACAGAAACATTTGACCTAGAATGGAAGAGTCATTATTAAGTAAAAGGATAAAACTCTTTTTCACTCAATGCCAGTGTTATTCAAGCTACCTATTAGAAACTTGTGTGAAATTAAAGATACCTTGGAATCTTAGTCTCTCTAGAACTACTGAACTAGAATCTTGGGGCATAGGCTCAGGGTTAAAACCAGCACTCAAGAGACAACCCAACTGGAATACCTAAAATGGGGCTACAATGTGCCCAGTGAAGGAGGTTTCCTGCGGAGCCTCTGCAATACATAAGACTTATAGGTGGTAAGCCTGAACCACATCCAGATCTCCAGAGATGGGAAATTCCCACTTGAAAGGACAAGCAGACCAACCTGGAGTGGCTAGAAGAACAGAAGATATTTCTTGAAAGAAAGACCTACAGGAAAAATATAAAACAACATAGGCAGACCGACTGTTACTACAAGAACAAGCAACTTGCTTG